CCCGTGCAGTCTCCCTTCCTGACCCCCTTTCCTTCAATTCTCAGATGATTCATCATTTTTTCTGGGAAGTCTTCTCCTTCTCTAGCTCTGCTCACGTGCTCTTTTGGGAACTACTATACAAACTGAGTTTAGCATTTATCTCACTATGTACTTGTCTCTCTGAAGACAAGGGCTTCATCTTGTTCACCATAGTACTTTGTGTCTGTCACATGACTGAAGTTTAACAAATGTGTTGATTAAATAAATGGACACCTCAGCCTATACTTGGAGTCTTCTTGACCACCTGGAGTCCTTGCCTTCCCACATCTAGCCTCCTTTCTCTGAATGAAAGTTCGCAGCGGTATGAATTGTGTGTGTGTGTGTCATGGACCTCCTTGCCCCTGCATTACCACTCTACCCGTAAGTGACACTATCTCTCCGCCTTCCCAGCCTATAACATCAGACATTGTCATTTTTAGAAACCTCTACTAGGACTTGTTTTCTAAATGTTGTCTAGAGATGGCCTCTACCTGAAACCATAGGAGTCAGGAATTGCCTTTAGACAACTTGGCACCTGTGCAGCTCAACTTCTGCCACTTCAGGCAAGCCAGCTGTCCTCACAGACACTGTCTGTGCTAATTTTTTTTTTTTCTTTTCTCAGGTGTGATAGGAGCATTCAAATGCTTTCAAGGAATATGTCTTGAATGTAGACTATGTCTCTCTCAAAAAATGGCCTACTTTGGAAATATTTGCATAGCAATTGGGGTCTTTCGAGATTCAGATATTCCATTTTATTTAATGCCGAGACACTAGTATTTTTATTGGTAATGGTATATCTGGGTCCAATCAGAAAAGAGAGAAACCACATAATAATTTCAACAAGGAAAAGTTTAACATAAAAAATTATCAACTATTACAGAGAAACAGACAAATGAGAAATTGGATTATGTATTTTCCTCGGGCAGCCATAACAAAGTACCACAAACTGGATGGCTTAAGACAACACAAATTTATTCCCTTGCAATTCTGGAGATTAGAAATCTGAAATCAAGGCATCGGCAGGGTTATGCTCCTTCTGAGACCCTGGGTAGAATCCTCCCTTGCCCTCTTCTTAGCTTCTGGTGGTTGCTGGCAATCTCTGGCACTCCTTGGTTTGCATCATTCAAATCTTGCCTCTGTTGCCACATGATATTCTTCCTGTATGTCTCTGTGCTTGTCTTCACATGGCATTCTTCTTTCCATGTGTCTGTATACAAATTTCCTTCTTCTTATAAGGACTCTAGTCATTGGATTAGGGCTCACCTTAAACCAGTATGATCTCATAGTTATATCTGAAAAGGCCCTATTTCCAAATAAGGTCACAGGAACTGGGGGTTAGGACTTGAACATATCTTTTGGGGGAATATAATTCAGACCACTACAGATAGTAAAAAGAGAATTCTAAAGAATACAGGAATAGCAGATATAGGGAGCAGCCACTACCCCTCAGGCTGAAATGCAGCACTCAAGAAAAAGTCTGTCTCTACTTGGGCCTCCCTGGGATGTGAGATCCAGAACTTTTTGGAGAGGACAGGGTGCCACTAGGGTGGAACTTACTACTTACTAGGGTGCCACTCTGGTGGAACTTGCTGGAAATCTTCCCTCTAGAATGCCAGGGAAAACTATTCATGGGCTGGTGTCTGACCAGAAGCACTCCACTACAAAACTGTCCAAGGGGCATATCAGGGGAATCTGCTGGCCGTTGGGTACTGTTGGCCACTATGCCCTGTGGAAGCCTGGCACTCGAGAAGCTGCCTGCACTGCAAAAGCTGGGAGCTAGGGAATTCACTTGCACTGTGGGTATCTGCCAATAGGGCTCACTGGACCACAATACAAAACCCTTTCCTCCTGAAATGTCTCCCAGCTGACAGGACTTAATGTGATCCCAGCTGGCAAAGAAAAACTATTTAAAGGGCCAAGATCCATTTTCACAGAGCAGCCAAAAAGAATGAACTCAGAACTGAGAGATAATAAGTTGCTAACTGGCACAGTGACATATCAGTTTCAGATAGGCAGCTCCCTTTGTTCTTCTTGACTTTCTCACCAATCCTCCAAACCTCCTCCCCTTCCCAGACATCCTCACCATAAGCCAAGTCCTCTTGCTTTACCATTCGGTTCCTCCAAACTTGACTCCTGCCTATCACTCCCTAATCCCCTCAAAAAAGAAAGCAAAGATGAAACTGGTGGCCGGTGGCTCTCTAAACTGGGGAAGAGAAGAAGTTAAGACTGTTGGTAGGACTAGCTTTCTTTTTTTTCTTTTTTTCTTTTTTTTTTTTAAGAGTCAAAAGGAAAGTTTTATAGAAAACGAGTAACACTCCACAGAGCATCGTCTCCTCTCAGAGGCAGAGAATGAGAGGGACCAGGACTAGCTTTCTTGAATAAATATTTTAGCAACTCAAAGTAGCTGAACAGAGTGGAAGAGCCAGCAGAGGTGGGTCTTGAAAGCTCCTCAGCAGCAGAATTAAAGCGGCCAGGAATGTGCTGACACCTGACTGGACTGAGTACTTCAGGGTGGAGAAGACTGAAGCTGAAAGAATCAGCAGAGCCATTGGCAATCTTGTATACAGGGATACAAGATTCTTGGGGACGGGTACCTGTCTATCCCCAGGACACAGCATATAGGAGATGTTAGAACTTTGTTGAATGGTTGATACGAACCAGAGCAGCAACCCAAACTCATCTCAATATCCTACAACCACAACCTAACCTAACCTACTCTAGCTAATCTGGAGCTTAGGCTACAGGCTTCTGCAGAGAAAGGTACTGAGCAGAGCAACTGTCTTACAGACCAGAAGGCATAGGACACTCAGAGGAAAAGGAGGAAATTTTTATCATCCTCTTTTTACTTGTAGCTTAAGATAACTTATTTATCAGGCATATTCAGATGTGTCTCAATTGATCTTGATCTTCCAAGTCTATTTTGAGATAGGCATGACAAGGTTTATTGTTCTCATTTTACAAATGAAACCACTGAGGTCAAGGAACAGGTAAGCAGATGGGAGACCCAGAGTCCAAATGGGCCCAGAGTTCCTGAAGAATGATACACCCATGTATGTGCCTTAAGAGCCGATCTCCACCACATTATCTGTGTGGGGCCTCTGGCCACTGGATGAGTACACATTGGCTATGCCCTAGAGTGTGTACACAGGTGATGGGTAGTTGTTGAAATGGTAGTCACAAAGAGGGCAGAGGAAGACGGTGAAGCTATGAAGGCTCACAGCTGCTGGCCTGGGCTGAGGGCTGACACCAGAGTCTAACTTCAATTTGATGAACTCTGGCACCCCAGTTAGGGTCATAGGGCTGGGCCCTCCCTACCAGAGTCTCAGGCCAGGCCCTTTCTTTAGACTACTTCCTTTGCCCATGGTGTTGACTTCTTTGCTCTGCCCTTGAAAGCTTTTCTCACCTTGGGGTCTGGGAAGCACTTGTGTATTTAAGCAATTGAGAGCCTACATAGGGCCTTTCAACTCACCAAAGTTGAGCAGGCTCTCTAAGCACTCACAGTTGGAAGCATCACCATACCCCCCAAGGAACATCCTCAGGCACTATGCAGCCAGCCTTGATGAGGGCAGGGGAGGGTTAGAATACTTCTAACTGAAAGAGCTACTGCCTACTTCCATCATAAGTCTCATGGAATTCCAAAAGACCCAGCAGTTCTTGCATCACAGAGTCCCTGTAGTCCTGGGACAGCTATCTCGATGAGTCCCTGGTCATTAAGTTAGGGAGTCTTCACTTTCCACACCTGCTCTTACTGATTCTGCTCTTTCCATAGCATCCTTTCTGTTATTACTTTTATCACTCAATCCCATAAGAAACAATTATGCTGGGCAGATTAGGTCCTCTGCACCTTCATCTCAGATCAAGAATTGTAGGTTTCAGGCTCTCTTGCGCCAAAAAAAAAAAAAAAAAAGTACTGGTTTGGACTAGGGACTCTTGGAGAAGAACTAGTGGAGGAAGAGCTTTGGTTAGGCGGTGAGGGCGCCTTCACAATGTAAAACAGGACATACTCACTTCCTCTCCACCAACAGCCTGATAAAGGTTCCATGATGCAGCCTCTCCAAGAAGCGGGATTCTATCCCTGATCCCTCCTACTAAGGGCTATTTACAAGCCCCATTAGCCAGAGGGTTCGTGGGAGCCTAGAACAGAGAAGAAAGCGGCGGACGCCACCAAGCACGCCAAGTTGGTTACTGATCTGCAATGACGCCCCTCTAGTGAGCCCTCTGCACAGGCCGCAGCAACCTCCACCTCTCCAGGAAGAGGTACACAACACTAGGAGGCCCCTAGCCTCCTCCCGACTTTGGCTCAGCTCAATCTCGCCAAGATACCGTGCAAACGACGGTGCCGGAAGGGGCACCCGCCCTAGTTTCTGGACCTCTCCATTCCCTCCCAAACTCTTCCCGGCAACGTGGGAACCAAGTTGAGGAACCCAGGATGTTGCCGGAACCGACCTCGATGAGGCCTCTCTAGGAAATTGGGAATTTCACATATCGTTAGCACTCAGTTCACGTTGATTGGCCTAAGGAACCGGAAAATGCCCTTAAAAAACGTGGCGGCACGCTAGCTTCACTACAGTTGTCTCAATATCTCAAGTAACTTGGCATAGTCTTCGACCACTGCCTGGCCTTCAGAAGGTGACGCCACCCGGTCTACTTCTGTTCCTCGAGGACAGCGCTATCTGCCCTCAACTATAATGGTGGCGCTGCCCAATTTGGCTGCTTGCCCCTAGGGATGATGGCTGCCAGGAGGCTTCACTTAGTTTCTCACCACCCAGGAAGACGCGGACTGGCGATTGGGCGCTGTCCGGAGGCTCCGAGAAGAAGGCCCTCGGCGGTTGGGCGGTACTGGGTCAGGCTGGTTTTAAAGGAGCCGCAGTGGGAGCCTTCGAAGACCGGGGATCTGCGGGAGGCGGCGGTGAGCGGCGCGTGGGGGAGGGCACGGAGCGGCTGGAGAGAGGGCGGGAGGAGGGAGGGAAGGAAACATTTGAACCATCTGGTCCAGGGCTGGGGAGAGCGCTGGGCGGGGATCCGAGGAGGGAGGGGGTCTGTGGGCGGGACCTCCCGGGATTGGAGTGGAGGGGGTATCTGCTTGACAGTGGATCCCCGGGGATCTGGGCTGAGTTCGTGATGCTGAAGCTCAGTCCGCCCATGTCTGAGAGGAGCTTTGCGGAGCCAAAGCTCACAGGGAGAGCAGGATCCTTGCGCGGCGTCTGATTGGAGGAACCGAGCTGTAGGATTTTTTCCGCATGGATCCAGTCTAGGGGATCTGGTGGGGCAGAGGGGGCCGTCGGTGTGTGGAAGTATTGCTTCGAAGTCCTTGGCCATTCGCTGGGAGTGGATGAAGATCAGAGTGATCCGGTGGAAACTGAGCCTCCCAGGACCGGGATCCCAGCTGATCCCGGGTTATCTCAGGGCAGAATCTACAGGGACAAAGGCCCCAGGAGGCTCAGGCTGTGGGAGAAGTGGGGCCACTGCAATTCAGGTTCTCTAAGCAATTGCCAAGCAGGACGCGAGCGATCGCTGATCTCGGCTGCGGCGGCGGCGGCGGCGGCGGCGGCGCCGGCGGCAGTGGGGAGACACCCGCTCGCGAGGGCCGACCGGGGGCGCCCTTTCGCGCCCCAGGTCTCCGGCCTGTGAGCTACCGGGAGCTGCGGGCGGACCATGAAGGGTGGAGCCCCAAGGGAAGGGCTGGCCTTCACTCCCCAATCCCCTGCTCCCCCCTCCTCCCCAGGCTGCAGCCTGGGATCCCCCAGGGACTCCCCGTAGCCGCCGCTTCCCCCATGGACTTGCCTGGGGACTCCAGGTGAGAGCACACCCCACCAGCCTGTCTTGAACCCGGGAAACGGGGAGCCTTGCGGCCGTACAGGGGAAACCACAGAGCTAACGACAGGCTTAGGCGACCGTCCTCTGCTTCTCTCATCCTCCAGCCCTCCTAGTCGGCCACGTCTGTGCCGCCAGCCCCTGGCTCGAGCATTATGGGGAGCCAGAAGCCCGAAACGGGCAAGGCTACAGACCCTGGTAGCCCCTTCACCCTTGGAAAAGGCCTCTCGGCGGGTCTTGGCCGTGGTGCTGGAAGATGTCATGGCTGCCCATATGGTGAGCCCCTTGAACTGAGAGAACTCCTTGCCCTGCCCCTGTCCCTTCTCAGTACCCATTAGGCCAGATCACTAGTGAAGTTAATTGAGGTCCAAACACCTCATTCTCACACCCATCGCTCAGGCAGCCTCCCTAATGCTAGAGATCTGCTTGGCTCACTCTTACTCCAACCTTAAATTTGGCCAGGTCTCCAATGCCCATTCCCCATCACCAACCCTGTCCTGCTGGAACCACATCCCTACAACTCTTTAAGTATGAGAAACTCTTCTACTTTCTTCCAGCCCAACTTCTAGGCAATCTTTGGGAAGCTGACTGAGGTCATTGGCTCCATTGCATAGATAAGAAAAACTGAAGCCCCAAACAGGGCATTGACTCACCCAAGGTCGCCCTTTTCATTTTTCCAAACAGCCTGGGTAAGATCACCCAGGTCCCACACCTGCAGCTCAGGACACTGTAATATCTGGCTCCCAATTCAGTTTGACTCACCTCTTTCTTGGGAATCTTGAGTGAATTTTAGCCATGATCTCTGACACCTTTGTGGCATAGGCACAGGGAGGCCCTGTCTATTACAACCTCATTTCATCACTTTGCTCTTGACACCTCCTCTCCTAGGTCCCCCTAGTGCCCCGAGAGGATACCTCCACTGCACAGCACGCCAGCAGCCATCGGGATTCTGTCCACAACCAGCCACCTGCCTTGCCACCCCAACAGGCCATGTGGTCGTCCCAGGCCAGGTGAGCATGGCAATATAGGAAGGTCAGCTGGGAACACAGCTGAGCCCCTCTGATCTTCGTGTTCCCTCTCTAGGCCTACTGACCCACTGAACTTATGCCGAGAGCCCTTGAGTCGTGTCCACCGGCCTCCTTCCACCCTGAGGCGTCGATCAAGGACAACCCCTGGCCCAGAGGAGGTCCCTTCACGAGAGGTGGACCGGGCCCCCCAGCCCACCTTGGTGGTGATGCTAGAAGACATTGCCAGCCCCCGACCCCCCACTGAGGTATGAGAACTTCGGGTAAGGATGTCAGGGGTACAGCTGGGGGTAGGCACTCCAGTGGAGGTAGAAGACAGGGGTAGGAGGGTTGAGTCTTGGGTGGATTTTGCTCAGAGCAAGAAGGACAGCATTTTAGGTAGAAGATACTGCTTGAGCAAAGACCTATATGAAAAAGTGTTTGGTGTGAATGCAGGCAGACATCTGAAGACTGAGAGAGTCAGGATATGGGAAGCTAAGAAGGCCAAAGGGGGCTTCCCTACCTCCCCACAAACATCCCCTGTTTATATCCAGGGTTTCGCTGACGAGGCTCCCAGCTTCATCATCCCAGCGAGAAGGTGAGATGGCTGGGGAAGGATTTATTAAAGTGTCCAGGCAACAACTATTGTCCAGGCAGCCAGAGCTAAGGGCATCAGAATTCACTTGTCCAATTGTTCCTTGTAGCACCTTCGGAAGCCTTAAGGGACAGGGGAGGTGCTCGCTCAGGTGGGATCTGGACCCGGAAGCTCCCCCAGCCTTTTCCTTGCCTCTTCACCCCAGAGCTGAGTCCATGAAGATGGTTAACCAGCCAGTGCCTCCACCCAGGGACCTGGAACCCCCATTCCAGCCATCTGTCCTGCCTGCAGACCCTTTGGAGAACCCATCACCAGGTAAGAACTCAGATAGAGGGATGAGACTTGGGGCTCTGGAAAATCCTAGCTGAGCTTAGACATGTCAAGTGCAGAAGTGAGGGTGAGTCTTAACCCCCTCCCAGGGCAAAGCTTGGTATGTGAAAATGGGGTTTAGACTTCCCAGGCCTGATGTTCAACTCCTACGGTGGGAGTTGTTTAGTGCATAGTTTTTTAGGAGTGGGCTTATTACTCAGTGGGCAGTTTAGTGTTTGGGAGATGGGCTGAGGTATTGAAGTGGGGCTTAGACACCTGCAGCTGAGGAATGCCCACCTGTGACCCCTCTCCTTTCCTCAGCCCCAGATCCTGTTCTGGAGCCCCCATCGACCCCACCGCCGTCCAGCCTTTTACGCCCCCGCCTCAGTCCCTGGGGCTTGGCCCCGCTAAAAAAAACGCTCCAAGCAGAGCTTTGCTGACATCTTCCTCACACCCAACAAAGCCCCACAGCCCCCGCCCCCATCAGCCCCCATGAAGTTGGAGTTGAAGATTGCCATCTCAGAGGCCGAGCAGTCCAGGGCTGCTGAGGGTACTGCATCTGTCAGTCCCCGCCCCCCTATCCGCCAGTGGCGGACCCAAGACCACAGTACCCCTGCACCTCTCCCTAAGCCCTCTCTGGGCCGAAGCCACTCCTGCCCTGATCTGGGGCCCCCTGGCTCAGATACCTGCAGCTGGCCCCCTGCTCCACACCACCCAAGCCGGCCACGGCCCCGGCGACACACTGTAGGTGGTGGAGAGATGGCCCGAGCCCCGCCACCCCCTCGACCCTGTCTCCGGAAAGAGGTCTTCCCTCTTGGAGGAGTGGGAGGCTCTCCTCCCCTCGTCACATCTTGCTCGTCCACCGCATCCACTTCCTCCTTCTCTGAACCTGCAGAACCCAGGTAGTGCTCTCTATAAACCCTCCTTAAATCCCTGGCCACAGTTGGGCCCAGCCTCCTTCCCTAGTGTCCAGTGGGCAAGAGACGGGGATACTGCTGTGAATGTTGTTTGTCTCTGAGCCTTAATCTTCTCTGCAGATTGGGGTCAACCAAGGGGAAGGAGCCAAGAGCCTCAGAGGACCAGGTGCTTTCAGACCTGGAGACCAAGGTAGGAGTACAGATGAAGCAGGGGAGACAATGGGAACCTGTGCCCATGCCGCACTCTTACCTCTGCCCCATTTTTGCAGACCATGGGAAAGGTTTCTCGATTCAGAATACGCAAGACCCCAGCCCGTCCTCAACTAAACCTTACACCAATGGGGCTGCCTCGACCGATCAGGTGAGATGCTTATTTGTGCATAGAGCTGTCTTGGCCAAACAGATGTAGGTTCACATCCCCTAAAGTGTGGCTGTGTCTCCTCTCAGGGAGCACAGTCCATCTTGGAGGAGTCAGTTTGGTCTGGACATGATTTGTGTTTAGAACTATCCATTTGCCTCGGGCAGCACTCCTGGCCCATGGCACATCCCAGAAACTGAAATATACACCAGGCCTTACTGATTCCTTCTCCAGGCCCCACTGGCCCCAGGTTTTTCAGTGCCCTCTGCTTTTTGCTCCCAGGTTGAACAAGAAAGAGTTCAGCTTGGAAGAAATTTACACCAACAAGAACTACCAGTCGCCCACAACCAGGAGGTGAGAAACTTTGAAGGTTTGGGGGTGATAAGAGGGAAGGCTGGAACCAGGTGGCATACTGTTAACCATCATCCCTCCCTGCCTGGTCTAGGACCTTTGAGACCATCTTTGAGGAGCCCCGGGAGCGCAACGGGACTCTGATTTTCACCAGCTCAAGGAAGCTGCGGCGGGCTGTAGAATTTCGGGACAGTAGCCTTCCTCGATCCCGGCGACCATCTCGTGGGGTGCGGGCTGCAACTGGCAAGACTCTTACTCCCAACCTGGCCCCCAGCCCAGATGTGGGAACCCTGCTACAGCAGCGGCTGGAGGAGCTGGATGCCTTACTCCTGGAAGAGGAGGAAGTGGACTAGGGAGCAGCCCCATTGGACCTAGGAGCTCCATCTGTTTATCTGTACATCCATCCTAGAGGGAAGGGAAGCCTCTGAGACCATTTTATTTTTTTCTCTATATTTCTAGTAAAGTTTTTGATATGTTTCTGATTCTTTTGTATGTTCCTAGCTGAGTTTGGGATTGATTGGCAGTATTGGCTGTTTCTACTCTGGCCCTTAAAGACTGAGAAATAATGGCAAGTGCCAGGGAAGACAATGAGGGTTGGATACAGGAAGGGTATAGGGAAATGGCTGTTGGAGATACTTCATTGATTTGAGAATTTCCCTGGGGCAGATTTGAGAATCTGCCCCAAAACATACTGTGATCTGAGATCCTAGTCAGGCTTCTCCCAACTCACATCAAAGAGGAGACTGAAAGTCCCAGAGTGGACTAAAGTCTTGACCAAGATGGTTCTAAATGCCTCTTAACATGCAGGCCAGGACCTGTCGCTGGATTCAAGAGCTAAGAGTAAATCAGTGCTAATTGAGCACCTACAACAAACTGCCACAGGTACTCGACCTGTACTTACCCGGCGAGAGGGAATTATATCCATTTTATACATAGGAAAGCAACTTGAGTGAGTGCGATGTCTACATTAAAAGGATAACCCAGGCACAAAGAGGCCAGAAGTGGCACTCTACAGCTTTCGTAACTTAAGAGGCAAAACAGAGCAGTGGCTGACAGCACAAACGCTGAAGCTAGGCTTCTTGAGTCCAAATCCTGGTTAGGAAACTAAATGTTGTGTCAATCCCCTCCCCCTTTGTAAAATGAAGCTAGTAGTACCTTCCTAAAAGAACTATCCAATGAGTTAACATGTGAGAAAGTGCCGGTACTCAAGAGGGAAGTTTGTTTGTTTTGGGGTTTTTTTTCCCTCGTTAGCAGGCAAAGACCACTTTCCCACTGCATTGAGCGATAACGGGACACGGTTTCCTTCCCACGCGTCTGGAGCCCGCAAAGCATGCCGTGTGTTCGGGCCACCAGGAGCCACAGGGCTATCATGTTGAGCTGCCCGTCGGACGATACTGCCACGAGCGTGCGCGAGAAGCCAGGCGGCCAGTGGGTTAAGCCAAGGGGCATGAAGGCAGAGACCACGTAACTGGCGGGCGACAGGAAGCCTCGGCAGCCGCGCGCTGCCCAGAGGCCAACCGCCCTCTAGGGCTCGCGCACCACATCCCCATTCCTTGTTTTGACGCAGTCGAAGGCAGACCAATGAACGAAGAGCAGGAAGAGGCGGGGTCATCCGGGACACCGCCCCAAGCACCTACTTCTAACCAATCGAGTCACGAGACTTGATGAAGGACAGAGCTACTCTGACGTGTACCCAATCCAGGATTTGAGGGCGGTTACAAATTATCCACTCTCCGAGTTTGACTCCGCCCTCCGACCTGACGTACACTTTTCAACCTATCAACGACTAAGCCTGTGGAGGGGTGAGGGGAAGGGGGCGGAGAGTGGGAGGAGGCAGACAGAGGAAGGAGGCGTAGGCTGAGGAGGAAGAAGGAGGAGGGGCAGAGAAGTTCTGGCGGAGGAGGCCCAAGACTCCAAGGGAGACAACAGGAGGATGCATCGGAGCTCTCCTGCTGCTCAACGGCCGTTCCTGATCCCTTAAGGCGCAAAGTCGGACAGACGAGGAAAGGAGGAAGAGACTTTTATGTCGGCCGACAGAGACGCTCTACCCGTCACCGTTGCCTCACATCCGGGGCTTTGGAGGGCTGGCCCCCGCGGCCCCGCCCCCCCTCGCGCCTTTCATGGCGACCGGAGGCGGAGGCTGGAAGACCGGGGCCTGGGAGAGGCCCCTTTAAATCTCCTTAAAGGGGTGGCCACTGAACTCGGCAGACTACAACGCCAGCCTTAAAGGGGAAGCCATCGAACAGAAGCTGACAAATTGAGAACTGTCCTGTTGGAAGAAGTGGAGCGAGCGAGGAGTCTCAGCTCCTCTCCACCATCCCCCCACACACGCAAGAAGTCCTTTAAATTCAGCTTATAGGGGAAGTGGCCGCTTGTGGAGGACTAGAAACTTAACTCCCGAGCTCTTAAAGGGGCTGCCTGCTGCTTTGAGGACCCTGGACTCCTTAAAGGGGTGGCCTCTTTTAGCCGGAGGACTTGAGACATTTTTAAAGGGGAGGTCTGCGTTTCGGGGCGAGCTTTCGGTCCCTTTTAAAGGGGTGGCCCTTCCTCTTCCTCGGGGAGACTGGTCTCGACCCCTGGCAGGGGGCGGCTACCGCACTAGGCCAGCCGGACACCGTTGGGTCGTCTTAAAGGGACCAGGGGCTGGACAGCTTGAGGCCTCTCCTTAAAGGGACGGCCGCCCCGTTTTCGCCGTCTCGGCCCCGCCGGCCCCACAGGGGGGGCCTTGGGGCTTGTCGCCCCGGGGGCGGCGCCGGCTCCCCAGGCCTTGGCCTTGGGGCAAGCTCAGGGCCAGCAGATCCTGCTTTAAAGGGGAAGCCGTGGCCCTCACGTCCCTGGGCAGCCGTCAGCGCCGCGCCTGCGACCCCGGGCCTGCGGACAG